TTACTTTACGTATATACGTACGGTAAATTTCCAAGGCTGAGGTACATATTTTGGAAAATCGGATGAAATAATATTGTGAATTGGTCGGCATGGTGAGGACTTTTCCCATTTAATGCCAGTCATGCGACCCATTTTAAGGCTATATAATTTTAAATAAATACCTACATGTATACATAACCTACACGAAATTTAAATAGAAATGTAAAATGACAATACTGACACTTCATATTTTTTAAACGATGTTCGGATGTTCTCCAATTACAATTTATTTAAATAGGTTGTAACTAAAAAGCTTATATATCGTAAGCTAATATACAGTAATACCCCTATTACACTACCCTGAATCAGGCTCCCTTCAGGGTGTTGTAATAAGAGAAAGGGAGTAAGGGTCCCTAATTATGGCGTCATCAAAGTGGACCCGGTCTGCAGTGCCCTTCCACCGTGAAGTTTAATAACACTAAGGGAGTTAGGGCACTTATTCGATGCGCGACTAAGGATGAAAACGATATATCAATTCTTTCAAACGTTGATATATCGTTCATAAACATGGTTCTTCATGAGCTATGTTTTATTAACGATGTTTTGCCGTCAAAGGTTACGAAATAACCAACTATTCGAAGGTATAAAATTCCGTATGTTAAAAGTTGCAAACGATGGTTATCACGAATTTTATGTTGCCAAAAAATAAATATTCGAAACAAAATATGTCAAAGTTAGATAACGTCTAAATTTTTAAAGTTAGAAGGCTTACTAGTATTTATCAGAAATAACTCAATCCCGAAAATTTTAATTACGAATTAACAAACAGGTGAATGGTCTTTCAGTCGAAAATAAATATACTTGAACTTCAGAAGTACAATTGTCTTCAATCGGTAATTCCATTTTCGATGTAAACTTCTAATTTTTATTGAGTTAATTAATTAAGATAAGTTTACCAATATTGAAAATATAATTATATTGTTTGAGCTTTAACTTAATGAACAGCTTAAGTACAGTCTTAATCAGTATATAAGTTAATAGTTATTTTGTCCTGGAAATTATTTTATCGGCTAGCGGCTATTATACTTCGTATTTCGTTACAATCATTTTTCTGAAATATTGATTTTTATGGATGAACGGTTATTCACCTGTTTGTATTTCGGTATAGTTTCGTAGATGTAGGTATTCAGAAAATGCGATAATACTGAAGGTAACATACGGAACTACCATAAAAAATTAACGCACCACATCAAAAGAAATAAAATTAAAGCAGAAGACGATTTCCATATATTACATGTATAAACTCACATTTTTTAGTTTTATGAATAAAGGAGTTCGTGACTCCGTAAAAATGTATTAAAAAATTATTTTACTTAAATCCAATGTGACTCTCGCTTCCCGAAATCGCAAACCGTTGAAATTATTTACAAACAGAGATCACTCTATTTTATTGTCTATGTTTATAGTTTTACGTATTTACGGAAAATTAAACGTACAATAATACTGTTACATACGCTGTTTTGTTTATTGTTGTATGCCACATGTGCGCTTTGCACTCAACCGACCGACAGTCGACTCTCGCAACAATCACAGTTATAAACTAGAGTACAAGCATACACATTTACAAAAATCACTAGTTGTAATATGACTCGAAACTAGTTCGGTTACATGCCGCGTAGCCAGTTATCGTATCTAGTGACGTGAAATAACGCCCACGTCTACTCATAACTCATTCGCATTTTGAAAAGCGTCGATGACGATGAATTTTTTTATTTTAATAATATAAAATTACAAATAATAAGTTTTTTTTTTACTTAAGGCATGAAGAGCAATTTTTCATTTTGTGTTGTGCGATTTTCTTTCTCAATCTGAAAATCATCTGGCAACATCAGCATCGTATAAATCCATTGTCATAAGAGCGTAAGACTTTTCTTCTGTGCTTCACTTAGCCTACGCCTCCCCCGACACAAAATATTTTGAAGCGATATCTGTATATTTTGGTTAGATCGATTTCGAAATCGATACACAACGTGCGAAACGCCTACATCTCTAAGAAAGTTTCAAAAAGGAAGGTCAGCTACGCCGTTGTCGTCCAGTCGTGACAGTGACGTCATCACGAAGGAGAGTAGTGCTGTGGCTAATGCCTCTATTGCACCACCCTGAATCAGGGCCCTGAATGAAGGGTGGGCGTGGCCCCTAGTTAGGGGCGTCAGTTATTACACTACCCTGATTTTACGCCCTTACTCAGTCATAGAGATGGACAAGTGAAAAGTACATATATATTTTATACTTTTACGTTTATTTATTTCGAATTGAATTTTAAAATAACGATTTTGACAACCTGGTGCCTCGTAAGTGGTTTCTCTCCTGGGTGATTGTAGATTCAGCCTCTGAAAATAACCGCTCATGGGATGCCGAAGTTGCCACGATAGGCAAATAGATCTTATCTAGGCTATGAAGCCCGGGACATAACCCTCTCATGTAAATAAACTGTACATATCAATAATCATTGTATATACAGTCAAATTGACTTGTAAATACGCCTACATTAATAATTTTATGAAAATCTTAGTTTCATAGTAAACGCAAATCATTTAATGCAGTTAGTCCTAAACCTGAATAAGGTACCTATGAAGGGAAGTTAATTTATTGATTTTAAATGTATAGCTACAAACACTTAGATAGTGATTAAATTTATTTTCGTTTCGTGTGTATAGTTGGTGGTGGTATTTATCCAGACAATCACAGTAGCCAAATGAAAATAACCAGTTACAAAAATCATTTGAAACAGGTGGCGACGACCAAGTCGCTAGTTTTGTTACGTTTCTTGAAAATAACGTAACGACCCACGTCTAGTTCTGAGGAATCGTTCATGTTCAGTGTTGCCACATTGAATTACCGTACGTCTCTAGACTGCCGTCAAAAAGTCAAGTCGTCAAGTCAAAACGTCAAGAACTTTTGTTATAATTTCAAGTTTGTGACGTTATTACGGATAAAAAATAATATTTTTTTTGTGTTATTTAAACATAAGTCTATATTGATAATAAGTATTTTATTCAGATGAGTTTTTAATGAAATTAAGTCATTATTGAAAACAAGTATCTTTATCATCAGCCTTTTAATTTATAGTTAAATAGACACAAGATTTACTGTAGGTAACTTAACTAGGTACTTAAGAAATAAAATAATCAACAATAACTTTCACTTAAACTTAAATCACTTTAACATTGGTCTTATCTAATTTAACAATAACTTTCAAATAAACTTTGCATCACTGTAATATTGTTTATAGCAAATTTTTGGACTTATCCTGAGATGAAGAACTTTTTACTTGCGTATCTAATTAAAAATATTTAAAAAATCAACTTAATGTTTAAATTACGACTTTAAAGAGAGTTATAAAACGGAGCGTAATATCTGGGAATGGCATTTTTTCTGATCAACTCCAACAAACCGTCTTTTTTCCTCTTATTTAATCCTGGTTTTACGTCATACGCTTTTTTCACTTCAACATCTACAGATTTTTTCTTTCATATCACTTCTGCTTTTTTAAACTCTTGCTGTTCATAAGAAGTTTTAAAAAATATGGCTCGAGGATGATTTTATCTACTTTCACAACTTTCAAGTCTGCAAATTTGATAGTGTTTCCTGCTTCATTCTTTGTTATGTTTACACCCATTTGAGAACAGACACCTTTCCAATCGAGAAAATCATCATTGTTCAATATATTTACCCGAAAAGGTGTAGGGTTTAATCTAGCAACTTTGATTGTACTAATAAAGGCCTCAGGGGTGTACATTGGACCACTTCTGATTTGCTTTTTAACCTGCCTTTCAATGAGGGAATGCGCAGAGTCACCCTCGTTTTGGGTGTGTACCTTAATTAAATATTTGTGAGTAATTGTTTTTATGTTTGGGTAATGTTGCACAGCAAACATGTAAATAGACAACATAATTTTATTATTTTGCTGGCCGACACAGTTATCGGTATAAAATATTACATCCACTGTGCAGTTGTTTTGGGCCAGATTTTGTAAATATTTAAATAGGCAGGTGCCCAGATCATTAACGCCCCTGTTGGCTGTAGCTTCATCCCAAACATAACATTCTACATCTTTAGAATGAAGATCGTATATAGTGAAGTTAAAGACATTTAACTTGCTTATATAATAACATAATGAGATATCCCCTTTGGGGCATTGGAACACAGCTTGCATGTCATAAACAGCGACAACTGCATCTTTATTTTCCTTATCCTTGACTTTTTCTGCTCGGCATAGGTCTTTCTCTTTTAAATGCGTATCATATTCTTGCTTCTTCTTTTCTTTTTCTTCGCCTTCACAGTTCTCATAAGCAACACAACAATCACAACGATCTTTTTTTGGTTGGAATAGTGAAATATTATATTCTTCTGTAAAAATTCTGTAGAACAGAGTATAATTCCCATATGGAATGTTTTTAGACCTACAGATTTCTATGTAATCTTTTGACAATTGATCTACCACCATCTATATATTCTTTGGAAGAGGGGGCTCTAGAATAATGGGAATCCATTCTTGGAATAGAATCAATGAGTTCCTTTATTGCTTTATGGATAGTATCATCAACTTTTGCGTGATTTTTGTGTTTCCCTCTATTATCATCTGCTAAAAGATTCCCTACAACTTTATTTTTTTTATCTAAGACTGTTCGGATAGGTCGATCTGTGATTCCAAGCGTATTTTTAAAAAACAATTTGCACACTCTTATTTTTTCTTCATGCAAATTAAAATAAAATGCACTATTGTACCGGCGCTTTTCTCTGGTGCCACCTTCACGTACATAGCGATACTTAGGTTTTATATCCTCTATACAATTAGAAATATAATTCCACTGTTTTAAAATACTGCCTAGCGACCAATAATCATCGAATATAGATATTTTTTCAGCTTCAGCAAAGTTTGTGCTGCACTTCAATTTGCATTTTTCAAAACAGGCATTTTTAATTTTACGCGCTGGTACAATTTTTTTAGAAGTACTCACATAGGATTTTCCTTCATTTCTTAGTTTTTTCATAACATTCTTTTGCCAGTTATTTTCATCTCTTTTACGTTTTCCTCTCTTCTTTATTGCATTTTCTGTATTTTCTTGATCTGGAACATGATTAGCATCACTGCTTATGACTAAATCTGATTGTACCGGCAACTGTCTAAATTGTTCATTATCATTTTCACTAAAGTAGTCAAACATTATTGGAGACACGGGGGCTTGACTGTCAGGTGGTTGGTAGGGAGGATCCTTGACGGAATCATCACTATCTGTAAAAGAATAGAAAGGTTAACGGTCTAATAGTAATATTATTTAACTACTACCAACTTATCTCTGCTAAGCAGGCCTTGAATAAATAGAAACATATTTGAAAATATAAACTCGTCTAAAATATACGATTAGTGCAACCGCTCCATTGGAAAAAGTATTAGAAAAATCAAGAAACAACCGCAAACTATATACACCGGATGAAATCGCGTCACTATGTTACTTAACAATTACTATGTGAGAAGTAGGCGCATATCTAAAAGAAGGTTCTTGGGGTTCCTGACGGCCCTTCCCCACAAAACTAAATATTTTTTTAAAGTATAAATACTTCTTACTGAAATCATACTCTACATCAGCATGTGGCGAAAGATAAACCTCAGAAGTGCAGTCTGAAGAAACTTAAATCTCAGAACCCATCCAAATTAAATTCGCGCCTGTTGATAAGTCTATGAAGCTTACGATAAACTCACAAGGAGTTAAAGGCGTATAAAATTGGAAATGAAAAATTTTATTCAATATGATTTTCTACTTTTTTTCATGGTGTGTTTTACATAATTTATCAACTCAAATCTAGGACCTCAAATTTTAGGATTATCAACGGATCATCACCAGCTGACATACACTACATGAAAGACTTACCCATATTCAACACAATGGACAGACGGGCAGGTGAGTATAGAGCCGGGAGGGTGTTCCTAGTGGTAATGTTGTTTTACATGATTGGTCCGTAAAACTGAAAAATTACCTTCAATGAATGAAGTAGATGATGAAGAACTTGTACTGCTATTGGAAGAGCTCGAGGAAGAGGAGCTGTTGGAGCGACTGCGTTGAGTATTTCCACTGCTATGTTCCTTTGAAAAAACATTGCCCTCAATTTCATTGGTATCATCGTTTTCTAAAAATCAAGTAAACAAGTAAATTAAAAACAAACAAAGTGAATTAGGAAAAATAGGTTATAAATAAGTAACTATAATTAACCTTTTTCATCTGACACTGTTTTCGGAGGTCCATCTACACGGTGATTAATTAAAGCCAATATTCTTCTCCCTCTGCTATTTCTTAAACTGGAATCCATGACTATCAAAGAAGTACCTTAAACATAAAATTGTTATTATCAATAATGACTTAATATAAAATAGTGCAAATAACATCAAGAAATATTCTGTGACTTTAACAACAATAACAATGTAACTTATAATATTGTTACGAGCTTGAGGTTCGTGACATAAAAAATTGCCGATAAAATTACCTAAATTAACACTTTAATTTACTTTACACAAATTAAAGTTAAAAACACTAATAATTAAACACACTAATTCACTTTATTCCGCTCCGAAGCTTCGCTTGTTTCGCCAAATCAACACTACTCCGATCGCATCTTGCAGCGCCTACTTATTTAAATTAGCAAAGAAATATCCAGAATGTTCAAGTAAACACGCGCAAGGTACCGAGCGTTCGAGTTTCGACTAGGCGCTGTCGGTTGAGTGATTTGTGATGTCATTTTCTCAATGCTCCCCTCGCTCTCGTTCCTGACACTAGATGGCTCGTCCCGAGCATTATTGGCCTCATAATAACGCGCCAAGCGATTCACATGGACGATCTTAGGAGTCCCTCTTGCGCCTTTCTGTAACGGCTCCGCAATGTCAAGGGCTGTCCTATCCCGTGGTGCACCAACATTGTACAATTTCGGTGCTCCTCTACTACGTGTCCGAGGTCCCTGCACGGCCGCACAACTTGTACATGTACGACACCAATCCTCGACATCGTCACGATAATGGACCCAGTAAAACTGTTCTCGGACCTTCAGTAGAGTTCGTTTAACTCCCAGATGGACTCTTGGACGACCATTATGGCATAACTGTAGAACATTCGGCACTTTAGCTTTAGGGACAACCATTTGCAAACGACAGCTGTCTCTTCGACCATTGTCCCATTTACGGCACAGGAATCCATCCTGAATCAGCAAGCTGTCCCATTGGGCCCAATAGCTTTTCGTGGTTGAACTCATCGCTGAGACGTCCCTCCACTTAGGCTTGGTAGCACGGGCCTTCATCCATCCCAGAATCGGCTTGATGTCCGGATCTTCCTGCTGTGCATGTCGTAGGTTGTCCTTCCACCCGTTGCTGAGGTGGTCTGTCCTGAGCATCCTCACGGATACCACCTCCTTACTCTCTTGCCTACTACAATGGTTGCAATCTTCAGGACAAGGTCTTCTTGACAATGCATCTGCGTTGCCGTGAGATTTCCCGCTGCAGTGTCTGATAGTAAAGTCGTATTCCTGCTGCTGCTGGGCGGTGCTGTTAGCCGCACTTCCTTTCTGAGACCGTTCACCTTCCCTTCGTAGGGTGTGCTCAGGGCAGCTGGACCGAAGATGGCCCCTTTCCCCACAGCCATAGCACCTAGGGCTGTATCTTTTATTGTGGTCGCGAACCGTAACTGCTCTAGCGTGAGGTGAACGATGATCCTGTCGCCGCCAGGCAGTGTCGTTATATCTCGCCTCCAATGCCTCAAGGAGTTGCTCATAAGTCACTTCCTCCCCGAGAGCTTCCAGAACTGTTAAGGCCTGGTCGCGCAGGCCTAATGTGAGAGCAGTCATTACCTGACTGTTATTCCAGCCGTTCGCCTTCATAACAGCCTCGAACTGGATTTTGTAGGCTGACCAGGAAGAAGTCCCGTCGAACGGTGGCACTTTGAACCCACGTAGCGAAGGTGTAGTAGCTACTACGGGAGTTGTAGTTCCATCACCCAGTTTGAGGTCGTCCAGCGTTTTCTTCACGTCAGCCACCACGTAATCAACCCGATTGTTCACTTGGTCGATTTGGGTTTTAGCTTCCTTGATTTGGGTTTCAGCTTCCGACAGGCGGTTGTCATGTTGAGCAACCTTATCCTTCACCTCCTTTATCTCTTTCCCAAAGGTAGCATGAAGGTCCTTAATGAGGAGCATCTGCTCTTCCGACCGACGGGCCTGCTCCTCCTGTCGGCGGGCCTGCTCCTCTTGTCCGCCCCGCAGCTGCTCTTCCAATCGGCGGGCCTGTTCCTCCTGTCCGCTCTGCAGCTGCTCTTTCAACTGACGGACCTGTTCCTCCTGTCGGCGAGCCTGTTCCTCCTGTCGGCTAGCCTGTTCCTCCTGTCGGCGAGCCTGTTCCTCCTGTCGGCGAGCCTGCTCCTGCAGCATCACCATCAGAGCACCTAAGTCAGGTGCTGTAGATGTAGGAGCTACCGACAGGCCTGCAGCCGGTGGCTGGCCCTCCGACGTCTGTGGCGTTGCACCACCAAACCTTCGTTGGTCCGTCTCCTGCTGGCGTTGACTTCGGGTACGGACACCCTCCGTTTCCTCCTTAGGTAAAATCGGCATGATTTTATCCCACTTCTGACACCAATTGTTACGAGCTTGAGATTCGTGACAATAAAAATTGCCGATAAAATTACCTAAATTAACACTTTAATTTACTTTACACAAATTAAAGTTAAAAACACTAATAATTAAACACACTAATTCACTTTATTCCGCTCCGAAGCTTCGCTTGTTTCGCCAAATCAACACTACTCCGATCGCATCTTGCAGCGCCTACTTATTTAAATTAGCAAAGAAATATCCAAAATGTTCAAGTAAACACGCGCAAGGTACCGAGCGTTCGAGTTTCGGCTAGGCGCTGCCGGTTGAGTGATTTGTGATGTCATTTTCTCAATGCTCCCCTCGCTCTCGTTCCTGACACTAGATGGCGCTAGTGTATCGTCGACTTGACCGCGTAACAATATGACATTATTGAAATAGTCTTTGGATTTATTTTTGCTATCAAAAATGTACAATAAAGAATTATGACTGTCGATATCTGTTTGTGTTTCCAGAAAGAACGACTTACCGGAAAATATAACGGTGGTTTTTTAAACGTATTTCAAATAAAAGGTAGTCATAAGTATAGTAATGACATCTTTCCATTAAAGGGTTTACGTGATATTATTGACTTACCTTGCAAAAAGAACGTCGTAACACAAAATTTGTCGTCGTCGCTGAAATCAAGCACGTGCACAATCTAAAGCCTTGTATCCACTTGAGCATGCTCAGGCGAATGAACGGCTCATTTGGCCGAGCCGCTCAAGTGGAGACGCCTGAGCACGCTCGGCCCGAGCAAATCCGAGCGCACTCAGGGCGAGCCGGCATCTGTCGGTTTTTGTCCATGCTCAAAGGCGCATTATTACCATCAAATGGTTTCATTGTATATTCATTAAGAGCAAAAGCGTTGTCTCCTACAATACAATAAGGTACTTTTACATTTTAAGGAATTCGCAATATCATTGGTGGCGGAATATTCAAAGTTTTATTTTTAAGTTCTCTATATAAATTGGTATGTTTAAATACACCTCCATCCGAAATTCTACCCTTACATCCAACATCAACATATATAAAATTATAGTCAGCATCTACTACCGCAAATAATACAATACTAAAGAAATCTTTATAGTTTCGATATTCAGCTCCACTATGGGGCGGTACTATGATTTGAATATGTTTGCCATCCATTGCCCCAACACAATGAGGGTAGTTCCACTTTTTTTCGAAGTTTCGTGATATATCTAGCCATTCACTTTCTGTTCGAGGAACTTGAAGCAGAATAACAAACCATTAACAAATTACAATGCATCATTTCCTTATTAAATTTTTTTTACAGGAAATCCGAACCCAAGACTTTTTGGATGTTGAAAATACTGATAGTCAAGGCATTAATGACAATGAAGCAAGCAGTGAAATGCGCCCTCCAAAACAAAAAAGTACTAAGAAAAAAAAAGAATAGACAACCAAGAAAAAGCATATGAACTTTTGAAGAAAACAGCGGACAATGATGACCCGTACACAAGTTATGGATTGCATATTGCCAACGAACTAAAAAAATACGATAAAGGTACCTTGGCCTGTGTCAAACATGCCATTAATAATATAATATTCCAGGCAGATATGGGAAATTATTCACCAAATGTCTATTGTCCACGTGAATATTACAATCAGCCACAACAATATGGGTATACTACAAGTACATCAACTGTTTCATCGCCACCTGCGCCACCGTCACCAACTTTGGAATCGACTAATCGACCATCACCAGCATAACAGCAAATGCTGATAACCAATTCACTGAATCGAAATCGCTGTTATCCTCTCAGAATTTTTTTAACATTTAAAAACTACATAATTATTCTATGATAATTTTTAAATGTAATAAAAAAATATTTCAACCGCATTTTGCATTTATTTGATAAACTTACCTACCTACTTAATTTAAAAAAACATAATAACTATAAATAATCGAATTAGCTTACCTTATTGTAATCTTTGAGTGCCTGTATAATAGCTTCACACACTACCGGAACAAAACGGCTTATACTTTGTTTACTTTGAACATGTATTGCAAGCTAGGAAGCTAGTATAGGAATCTCCTGTAGCTAAAAATCTTAGTTATCAGTAACTTATCCACCGGTGATATGGCCTCACGCATATGTGTATCTTTTTTTTTAATTTGCGGTCCGATCAATGACAGTAAATATTCAAAATCAATCCTTGACATTCTTGTAAAGTTGTTAAATGGTTCGTTATCTCCTTCGAAAGTCAATTCACGAATTATATTAGCAGAGTTGTTTCTTCGATGACGATACATTTCTCTCCACCACCTTGGTGGTTTTCTCTTCTTCTTTATGGCACAGTGAATGATTATAAGGGCAGCAGCAGCTACACGGGCACGTGAAGACATGACGGAGCCGAGCATATACTGAGCAGCCTGAGCACAGCTTTTTCAATGTTGACGCTCGTTCGACCAAAACATTCATTTTGTTCCTCTGAGCATGCTCAGGCGAATGAGCGGCTCATTCGCCGAGCACGCTCAAGTGGATACACGGCTTAAAGCGTTTCCACGCTAAGATCGGGTACACATTGGGCGCTTTGAAACGCGCGATTTACTAACGCGCGTTTTGAGATCCAAAAGTCCCTATTGAAGTGTACACATGCAAGCGCGCGTCGGACGCGCGCTCTCAGAATTTAGTATTTAGATGCACCGCCATTTTGCTGTACATTTGATCGCGCGCTTTCGTGTAGGGTGCACATATAACATGGAGATCGAACACTTCGATACAGATTTATTTATCGACGAAATCCAAAAGCGTCCAGCTATATGGGACATGCAAAGTCCAGATTATAAAAATAAAATATTAAAAAAACGTAATTGGGAGGAAATAGTTGAAATTTTTAGTGACTGTGAAGACAATTTGGAAAAGAAAAACTGTTGGGTGAGTATAATTATTTATTGATGTTTTCTATAATTATATCATGTTGTTTTGCCACTGTAATTTTCCCTCGTTCACAAAATAATTGGCAAATTTTTCTCTTGCTGTTCTAGCACATAAGCTGCCTCGTGGTAAATTTTCTAAATGTATAGATTGTAGAGGTGAAACATAAAGTGTATCTTTATATCTGTAACCATCGCGCATTCGAACGTAATTATGTAGTACTGTGCAAGCTTTGATAATACTCTCCGCGAAATCCATGTTTACATCTATCGGTCTATGAAATATTCGCCATTTATTGCCCATTATTCCGAAAGTACATTCAATATAGCGCCTTGCTTTCGATAATCTGTAATTGAAAACTCTTTTTGTGTGTGTGAGTTGTGTTCCTCCATACGGCCGCATCACATTCGACATAATTGCTTCATCGCCGACGAACACATGAGGCAATGGAGTTCTATCGATATTTGATATAGGCTTGGGGTTAGGAATGTTTAACTTATTATTCACAATCCGTTTAAAAAAATTCGGAATTTTTAAAAATAGCAGAATCACTAGTTTTGCCATAGGATCCGACATCAACGTATACAAAACAATAATTTGCATCACAAACTGCTAGTAAGACTGATGAGAAGTATGTTTTATAATTGTAAAAAAGCGACCCTGTTTGTTCTGGTTGTATTAGCTCAATATGTTTCCCGTCAATCGCACCAATACAATTTGGGAAGTTAGCGTATTTCTTAAAACCTTCTTCTACTTCTTTCCACTTTTCTGTTGTCATTTCAGGCATAGATGTAAACTTCAATTTGCTCCATAGTACTTTACAAACTTGTTCCACTATCTTTATAATTGTCGATTTTTCAAGACGGTATCCGTAATGCAAGTCAGCGAAAGAGCAGCCTGTGGCCAAGTACTGTCAAAATAAAAATGGTTATTGTTTATTTTCAGGTGGTACACTTATGAAAAAAAGGAAAAGCATTCGGGACAATTATTTTAGGGAGTCTAAGAGGCAAAAAAAGCTTCCATCTGGATCTGGATCTTCCAAACATACGCCATATGTGCAGGAAATTACAATTTCTTGCGAATTCTACAGCATATTAACGACACAGAGAGCAATCAATCTTCTGGCACAACTGGTTCAGATTTTTTTTTTATAGGATAGGGTGACAAACGAGCACACAGTCCACCTGATGGTAAGTGGTTGCTGCGGCCCATAGACATCTACATCTATCTTTTATTACAAATCAAAATGCAGATGCGTTGTCACCCGTGAGGACTGAAATGGAATGCCTCATTTCCAGTAAAAAGGGTCTCCGGTTCTCTACACTCACCATACGAAATACAGCAGCATTAAGCTACTATTTGACGCTGGTATTCTGTGAGAGCGTGGTCCTTCCCCGGTCGAGCCGACCCATACGTGCTACAACTATACAACTAATATAATTACAGCATGGCTCTACCACGTAAATGTATGTTGTAGATAATATTATAGACAATGCAAACTTGATGCCACCTCCTAAAGATCAAATGGAAGGCCCAAGGAAAAGACAGAAAATAAATGCTGTAGATAAACAAATAGTCGACATTTTACAGAAATTTTTAAATGCAAGGGAACAAAATGAAATGGGGCGACTAACTAAAGAAGACGATGATAAACTATTCTGTTTATCATTGTACAGTGAATTAAAAAAGTGCCCGAAAATCGACGCTTAACTACAAAGATTGAATTACTGAATTTCATTAAAGAAGCACAGAATTAACATCAATCATTACCACTAGAAACTAACCATCACCAAAACACATATTCTACACCGACATATTCTGGATATACTACTGCTAGACCCTCAACAACACAACAGTGGTCTACCACGCCGCCACCGCCGCCGTCATCATGGTCACCGTCACGTTCAGCCTCCAGCCAAGATTCAGACAACTTAGATTTATTTGAATAAACAAATATGACAAATAGCACAAATTGACGCCTTACTTTAACGTTATCACGAGTGTTTCTTCTGCGGAAATCGAATCTCTCAAAATCGTTGAATCACCAGTAATATCTACTTTAATAACATGGAGTAAGTCATCAAATAATTTTATGGACATTCTAAAATAATTAAAAAACTTAGGTTCATATTGCCTTAATTTTGGATACAATGTTACAAACATTCCATGCGTCAGTCTATCTCGTAATATTGGGTGCACCCAATATTCTCTTTGCCTCTGCCGTCGTCTTTTATAGCGACGGTATAGAAGCCACACACAAGCGATCACTTCGACGTCCATTTCCGAACTTAACTAGTAGTATGGACACCTTAGTAACGCTCGTTAAACGCCGTGCTAAGCGCGCTGTATGTATGCTACAAGCGCGCGCCCAACGCAACGCCGAGCGCCCTATGTGTACCCGCTCCGTAGACAGAGAAACCTATAGACAAATTGACGCCTTCTTTCGCATTCGCACACGAAAAAGATAGATATATGCATACGTCTTGCATAGAAATGAGATAGAGCGGTGTGATTGTGTCCCTTTCTCCGTGCCGGTTTTTTTGTTTAGCAAACTCTACAGGTTGCTAAACAACTTTAACAGCGTAGCGATTTAAGGAGTTTACAAGTTGGTTTAACACATTCATCACCCCTACGATTTTCATGATGTCTTCTCTGATTCCGCCTACAATTTACGGTTGACTCGCCAGGCGAGTCGCCGGCACTGCAATATAAATTGATCGACTCGCCACGCGAGTTCACTGGCACTACGTAAGGGTAAATTCTATGTTTTGTAATTTTTGTGGCCGTCACAGTGTACTTAACTTGTTTACGCAATTAAAAAGTGTTTCCGGACTATTCGGCTTGTAAAAATGGCAAAAAAACTCTTTGGATAAAATAAAAGGTAAGTTTGTTTCGTAATTTGAGCAGTGGTTGTCAACCTTTTAAATTGTGGTTATTGTTAAGGTTATATTTTGAATTTCTAATACTTGTGAATAGACAATTTTACCCTGAAATAATTTAATACGGGCTTTCAGTTTTAAGAATATGGTATCAGATTAAAATGTACTATTTTGGGTCGGTTTTAGTAATCTGCTGCACGATTTAAGTGACTATTTTTCGAGATATCGATAGTTAAATGGAGAGTACTCACCGATTTTCAAAATTCAAGCTGTGGAAACTTTTGACTATAACTATTTCCAGACCAGGCCAAGGAAGACACAAGAACACTCAAAGTCCAGTAAACGTTTGCCAAAGTAGTTAAAACAGTACTCAAACAGGTCCGGTAATCGTAAGTAAAGGTATAGTCGAAACAGCACTCAAACAAGTCCAGTAATCGCAAGCCAAGGTAATCAAAACACGGGAGTCCAGTAAACGTAAGCCAGGTCACAAAGGTAGAGAACAGATAAACGCATGCGATGACGAAAGGGTCGTACAAAGCACTGATATTGAAAACAAAGTTTACAGAAGTTTACTAGAGTAGGCAACGACGTCACAAATAGGAATACAATGGACGAAATATTTAGTTGCATTCTTGGAGTGCGATTTAACATTAGCCAATGAAAGCTTTGTAAAAAACAATGTTATCAGTGTTTTTCTTCAAATACAACGGCGCGCCGGTGTTTTTTTATCGGCTATTTTATCAATGCCGACCCTTTTTTTTATTTATTTTCAACCCTATTACAAAGATACAAGATTTATAATATGGCTGCTAGATATGTTATCTCAAATATTACGCTAACTTTGTATTTCTAAAGCTTGTTTTTAATAAAAATAATGTCTTGATAGTTCTTCCTAGGACAGAGGCTTTATTCCAAACTGGTGGTATATCAATACGTAATCAAACAAGAGTGACTTTCGATAAGTAACACATAAACACTCACGCCTGTCACCCAGAGAGGTAGGCAAAGATTACGGACTTCCATTTGGCACGATCCTAATTATTCTATAACCGTGCGTTTGCACTGACGCGATTTTCACAAAAAAACATGTTTTAAACACTGTTTTCTGTCAATGTATCAAAAAGCGTTTGCATAGCCAAGGAACATGTTTTAGTGAAATGTGTTTGACAGTTTATTGTACATTACATATTATAACTATATTATATCTATATATCTGCAGAAACAAAATGTTTGAAAACAAATTTGTAGAAATATTGTTATGTTGAAAGATAAGTTTGACGTTTTGTATTTGTAGACACTTTTTAATCGAGACAGAGAATTTTCAACAATAATGGGTTCAAGTGATGAAGAGCTGAATAATGGATTCAAGTGATGGGTGTACTGTACATTTACAACAAAATAGAAAGAAATCGAGGTTCTGGACGCGCTTGCAATGTGTTTGACAGTGATTCGCAGTGGAATACGGGATAGAGACTAAAAACTGTGCTGCATGACGAATAAAGAAAATTAAAGAAAGTGATACATAAGAAAATTCTACCAATTGCATAATCACATTAAAACCTTAAAAGCCAAAATTGTATTAAGTGTTTAACTAATGAAAATAC